TGCCTGTTACAAGAAAGAATGAGTGTAGGTTATCTGTAAATACTACACCATTTTGGGTCAGCGCCTGTGACTCTGGTGGCTAAGGCTCCAGCCACATACACCTAAGGTGGCGGGTTCGAATCTAGCCTGGGCCTGCCAAAACAACAATGATGGCTGCAACTGAAAAATAGCCGGGCGTTGTGGTGGGCGCCTGTGGTCCCAGCTACTTGGCAGGCTGAGGCAGGAGACTCGCTTGAGCCCAGGAGTTGGAGGTTGCTGTGAGCTGTGATGCCACAGAACTCTACCCAGGGGGACAGCTTGAGGCTCTGTCTCAAAAACAAAACAAAACAAAACACTACACCATTTTGGATAAGGCACTGGAGACAATCTGCAGATTTTGGTATCCTCAGGGTCCTGGAACCATTTCCCCACAGATACTGAGGGACAACTGTACTTGTTTCTCCACACTCCAAGGAACAACACCATATATGTTGAGACTTTCTGATCTTTGCCAAACTGATAGTCATTAAATGTTTTATTTTACAGTTTGCACTTATAAGTGAGGATGAATAAATATCTTTTCAAATGGTCAAGAGTTGGCTGTCTTTCAAACTATCTTTCTGGATCCATTGCCTTTTTTTTGCTTCTTCCTTGAGGCAGAATCTCAGTCTGTGGCCCCAGTAGAGTGCAGTGGCATTGTCACAGCTCACTTGCAACCTCAAACTCCTGGGCTCAAATAATTCCCTGCCCCTGGCCTCCCAGAGTGCCAAGATCATAGGTGTAAGCCACTGCACCCTGCCCCATTGCCCATTTTTTCTTTTTGTTGCTTCTTTTCTGACATGTTCACTGTAGCTCTCAGTATGTCAGGTAAGTTAGCCCTTTGCTGTGAAGTTACCTGCATGTATTTTTTCCAAGTCTGTCATTGGCCTTTTTGTTTGTAGTTGTCTTCAGCAGCAGAAGTTGAAACTGGAGATCATGTTTTACTGATCTGTTGAGGGTGTGCTCAGGAGAAGAGTGAAGGAGGCAGGGTAGAGCAGAGGAAAGAGGTACATGAAAATTGTAGGCTCAGGGGTCACCTCCAACCTGATCAATGCCTGGGATGTGCAGCTCTGTGAAGACAGATACAGCGGGGATTTTATCCACCCACACTCTGAGCGCCCACACTCAGGGGCATCTGAGTGGGATATCACAGTGTGTGCTACACTCTGTCCTGTGTGTCCCCATGTACTTGTTCCTTGCCTGAAGTTCATATCATCCAGACTCAACTTCTCCAAAGTCCCTCAGTCATAATTTCTGGAAACCTTTCAGAAAAACTTCAGTGGTTCCTGAGGCAATGTTCTACCAGCTGGGGACATAGCACCATGTAGTGACAACTGTGTAGATGCGTACTGCATTTTGAAGGAAAGGGAGGATCCTTCCAGGGTGTCATTGCCCAGCTGGTCTCACAGCTGTGCCTGCTACAAGCCGTCTACCACTCGGCCTAATGGCAGCTCTGGGACGGTCAGTTATTTGATAGGATCATGGAATTCCATCATCATGTGCCTCTTGCGGTACCTCCTTTAGCACAAGCAAGTCTCTTGAGTCAAGATGAAGTTATGTGTCATCTCATAACAGAGATCGGACTTTCCCTGAGAGTGGAAAGTGGGCAGGCAGATTATGCAGGCAGGAGAGGCAAACTCATATCTGGCATATGTGCCAGTTCTCAGCAGAAAACTGTTTCCTATTGCACGGTCAACGGAGTCCTACTGCATTCAGGCGGCTACTGAGCAGCTGGGTGGTTTACTCGAGGGAGGATGATGCCTTGGAACCTCAGAATTGGTGTCCTGCTGGCAGGTCTGTTGCTGTGAAGGGCTGTTCTGCAGTGCCTTGTCCCCAAGTACGGGAACCAAGCATGGGCCTTCTCCTTTGTCAGCTGTGCATTGGGAACCCTATCTGAGGCCATAGGTGTAAGCCAGTGACAGGCTACAGCACAGCGCTCCAGGCAGGTGTGTCTGGGCAGCTGCTGCAGCTGATGCTCTTAGTACAGTCCTGGGCTGAGACCAGCGCTTGAATGTGAATGTGTACTGTTGTCTATCCCACATGAATGTGAGCGGTTCCTCATAGGTTTTGGAAAGAAGCATTTAATGTGGCCGTGCTGCAAACCCTGCATCCACGAATGTGTTTAGCGATTTGAATAAAGATTCCATTTACTTTTAATTTGTGGTAGTCCACTGTCATTCGTCATGATGCATCCAGTTTCTGTAGGAGCCAGGTGGGGCCTGATACGGGGACCACTTGTCCTGCATCATGGAGTCTTTGGGAGCAGTGCTGACCTCTGCTTTTCCACTGGAGAATTTCAAATTGTCTGTCTCTCCTTGTGTGAATTTTGGCTTGTTGGGTCTTTTGAGGAATTCCATTATGATCTGAGAGCAGATGTATAGTTTGTATTCTTTGGAATTTGTTTGGTGTGTTTTTGCCCGTAAATGGTCTTTCTTGGTAAATGTTTGATGTGAGTTTGAGGAGAATGTGTATTCTGCTGTTGTTGGATGAAGTGGTCTAAAGATGTTCATTAGATCCAGTTCAGTTTAACCATGTCCTTACAGATTTTCTGCCTGCAGGATCTGTCCATTTCTGATATAGAGAGTTGGAATCTCAAACTATAGTAGTAGATTTGTCTTTCTGTATAATAACAGAAATTTTTCTTTGCAATTCTATCAGTTTTTGCCTCACATACTTTGATGCTCCGTTGTTAGGTGTGTGCATGTTTAGGATTGTGATGTGTTCCTCAAGAATTGACCCGTTTATCATTATAGAATGCCCCTCTTCATCCCTGATTTTCTTACTCTGAAGTCTGTTTTGTGTGAAATTAATACAGCTACTCTAGCTTTCTTTTGATTAGTATTAGTATGACATAGCTTTCTCTATCCCTTTACTTTTTTTTTTTTATTAAATCATAGCTGTGTATATTAATGCAATCATGGGGTACAGTGTGCTGGTTTTATATACAGTTTGAAATGTTTTCATCAAACTGGTTAACATAGCCTTTACAGTATTTTCTTAGTTATTGTGTTAAGACATTTATATTCTACACCTAGTAAATTTCACTTGTACCCTCAAAAGATGCACCGTAGGTGTGGTCCCACCAATTACTCCCCCTCCTTCTCTTTCCCCTTGGGCTATAATTGGGTTATAGCTTTCTTATGAAGACTGAGTGCATTGGATACTTTTTTCTTCCATTCTTGAGATACTGCTAAGAAGAATATGTTCCAGCTCCATTTATGTAAACATGTAAGAGGTAAAGTCTCCATCTTTCTTTAAGGCTGCATAATAGTCCATGGTGTACATATACCATAATATATTTATCCATTCATGGGTCGATGGGCACTTGGGCTTCTTCTGTGACTTAGCAATTATGAATTGGGCTGCAATAAAAATATCTTTGTTATAATGTGATTTTTGGTCTTCTGGATATATACCTAATAGAGGAATTGTAGGACCGAATGGCAGGTCTATTTTTAGTTCTCTAAGTGTTCTCCAAACGTCTTTCCAAAAGGAATGTATTAGTTTGTGTTCCCCCCAGCAATGTAGAAGTGTTCCCTTTTCTTCAGATCCACGCCAACATCTCTGGTTTGGGGATTTTGTGATGTGGGCTAATCTTACTGGAGTTAGATGATATCTCAAAGTAGTTTTGATTTGCATTTCTCTGATGATTAAGGATGATGAACATTTTTTCATGTGTCTGTAGGCTGTACGCCTGTCTTCTTCACAGAAGTTTCTCTTCAAGTCCCTTGCCCACCCTGAGATGGAATCACTTATTCTTTTCTTGCTAATACGTTTGCGTTCTCTATGGATTCTGGATATTAAACCTTTGTCAGAAACGTAACCTGCAAATATCTTCTTCCATTCTGAGGGCTGTCTGCTTACTTTACTTACTGTGTTCTTGGCTGTGCAGAAGCTTTTTAGTTTGATCAGGTCCCAGTAATGTATTTTTGATGTTGCTTCAATTGCCTGAGGGGTACTCCTCATAAAATATTCTCCCAGGCCGATTTCTTCAAGAGTTTCCCCTGCACTTTCTTCTAGTATTTTTATAGTTTCATGTCTTCAGTTTAAATTTTTAATCAATGAGAGTCTTATCCTAGTTAATGGTGAGAGGTGTGAGTCCAGTTTCAGTCTTCTACAGGTTGCCAGCCAGTTCACCCAGCACCATTTGTTAAATAGGGAATCTTTTCCCCACTGAATGTTTTTAACTGGCTTGTCAAAGATCAAATAACGGTAAGTAGCTGGGTTCATCTCTTGGTTCTGTGTTCTGTTCCATACATCTACCTCACCAAGTGGAGCCCCTTGACCTTGGACTGGTGAGGATCTTTTTGTTGTGTCCTTCATGGTGAAAAATGGAAGGGCAAGAGAAAGAGAGAATTAAAACTCATCTTTTAATTAGGAGCCCACTCCTATGATGACAAATCCACCCCCTGAATAACAGCATTAATCCACTCAAGATGGCAGAGCCTTCATGGCCTAATCATCTCTTAAAAGTCCTACCTGTATACATTGTTATATTGGGGATTAAGTTTTCAGCACATGATTTTGGGGGGACACATTCAGACCACACCACAGCCCTTCATTTCTCTGTTTTTGCTCATTTCTCAGTTGTGTTGACCATGGCAGTTCATAGAAGTTTGTTTTTAGGGGGATTGTGTGCGGTGCCATTGTTTTCAGTTTCCGCAACAGTGACCAGAAAACAGCAGCCATCCCTGTTTCAGAGTGCAGTTCTTATCAAAACTAATTTTGAGATGCCTTTTGCAGGACTTTTGATGACTACCATGAATACAGAATGGTAGGAAATGGGTGAAGGTGGTCCTCAGCCAGGAAATTTATGTGAAAATCCAGCATTCATTTCCCAGAGCTGGGCTTTTATGTGAGCCAGGATGGAGATGCCTGGTGGCCCGAGCACAGGCACCCAGTCTGCATTCTCTGCCTTGGCAATGGTAGTGTTGGCTCAGCCTCCATTTCTTATGGTATTTTTTTTCTTCACTTTCTTTCAGTACTTAGGTCAGTTAACGTCTATACCAGGATACCTGAATCCCTCCAGTAGGACTGAAATCCTGCATTTCATAGACAATGCAAAGGTAATCCTATCCCTTGGCCTGCGCCAGCCCTTGGTCCCCTTACTCTTCCTTTCATAGCTGTGAGGGATGACCCAATCCTGTCACATTATGGGTACTCTTGATTCTGGATATAAAGACTGTTCTTCAGTCTGAACATTAACTTTATTCTCCTGACTTGCTCTACATGGTTTGGGTCTATTTGTAAAGTTTACACTTTTAAGATATTCCAAACCACATACCATAAGCCTGAATCTAAAGGCAGTTCCAGAAGAATCCTCCAAATGGTTGCATGCATTCGTATCCTTGGAGTAAGCACCACTGTGCTGAGGGGAACCGTATTCACCTTATTCACTTAGCCCTGCTCACATGTGTGAAATGGGCCAGCCTGGAGCTCCCAGGACAAGAGCCCACTGCTGGCCCACAGCTACCTCTGCCATTTCTGATGCCCGTGGTTCCTCCCAGAGAGCCCACCAGCTTCCGGGACACTTGACTCAGGAGCACGATGCTGTACTCAGCCTGTCTGCCTACAACGTCAAGCTGGCCTGGAGGGACGGGGAGGACATCATCCTCAGGGTGCCCATCCATGACATCGCTGCTGTCTCCTATGTCCGGGATGATGCCGCACACCTGGTCATCCTGAAGACAGGTTGGAATCTGGAAGGTCAAGGGTCATGCAGGCCCTTGTCCTAAAGAGTATCTCTGGATTTCATGAAGCTCCAGGGACAGTTTTGCAGCTTCATGTTGGGTCTCACTGCTTGTTATGACTGAGAATTGGCCCTTCTGTCTCTTGAGGCCAGCCAGAGGAGGGCTTGAGATCAGCTCCTAGCCCCTGGGGGTCTCTGTCACACTCATAGCCTTTGGGGGCTCAGTAAGGGGTGCAGTGTCTAGTACCTCTGTCCAGTGGGTCCCCTGTGTCCCCCAACCCCAGTACACTGGAGTTGCCCATTGTCCAGGCCTGGTGGAGCCCCAGAGAAAAGGCTGGAGGTAGGGGTCTTACCTCAGCTTGGCCAACATCCTGTGCATGTAGACCCAGACCCTGCAGGAGCTCCTGATCTTGGAGGTTACCCTGAGCGTGTCCTTGCTGTTGGCTGCCTTTACGTTCAGATGGAATTAGCAGAATGTTATTTCTGACCTGTTCTCTTAACTTATTAATATTGTTAATAAGTACAGCACTTGTCTTACTGGACAGCCAACTTCTAGAGGCCTTTGGCCCAGTTACTCAGTCCCACGCCTGGGAAATGAGGGAGGAGATGGGGGGGTTACTCTCCCTGCACTCCACCCTCTTTGTTGTGAGTGTTGAGGCTGGCAGTGCTGCAGGGACACTATCCTGGGCTCCTTGGGTCTCTGCTGGTATCTGGGTTGACCCCAAGCCTTTTACTTCCAGAGAGCCGGGGGCTGGTGTGAGGGGGACACAGTAGGACTGCCTGGTAGCTCTTAGGGAAGTTGTTTCTCACTTGAGGCTGGTACCCATTGGGAATCTGGAGATGCTTCAGGTGCTGACTCCTAGATCTGTCACCCAGCTTGGGTGACACAGAGAGCCTGGGAATCTGGCTGGGGTTGCTACCATGCATGTTGCTCTGGAGGGGTTTGCAAAGGTGGCTGCTGCTCTGCCTTGCCATCTGTGTAGCAGTAACTTCAACCCCCACATACTTTATGTACACACATGCGCATGCACACACATGTATATGCACACACAGTCACCCTCTCACTGTCACCGAGCATGTCAGAATGAGGTCACCCTCTGTGTTCCACTTGTCTCTCATTTTCCTTTATGGTGAAATTATTATGGTGTCAATGAACATCAACTATTTAATGCCAGGCATGCAGGTAGGTTGAACAATATGAAGCTGCCAATATTTAACTATTTTATTCTATAAAAATGCAGTTTGGCTGGACTTAGTAGCTCACGCCTGTAATCTTAGCACTCTGGGAGTCCAAGTTGAGTGCATTGCTTGAACTCAGGAGCAAGACCAGCCTGAGCAAGAGCAAGACTCTGTCTCTACTAAAAATAGAAAAACTATGGCTTAGTGCCCATAGCACAGTGGTTTCAGTGTTGGCCACATATACTGAGGCTGGGGAGTTTGAACACGGCCCGGGCCAGCTAAACAACAATGACAACTGCAACAAAAAAATAGCCGGGCATTGGGCTCAAAGGAGTAGGGCACCAGCCCCATATACTGGAGGTGGTGGGTTCAAACCTGGCCCTGGCCAAAAAACTGCAAACAAACAAACAGCCACAGGCATTGTGGCAAGCTCCTGTAGTCCCAGCTACTTAGGAGGCTGACACAAGAGAATCACTTGAGCCCAAGAATTTGAGGTTACTGTGAGCTGTGATGCCATGGCACTCTATTCTGGGGTGACACAGTGAGAGTCTGTTTCAAAAAAGATAAACAAATAAAACTAAAATGGCAGTGTAACATGGTTGAAATTAGTACAGACTATTTGACATGAATTATGTCATTTGATTTTTTTTTTTTT